AAGTGTTACATGTCATCCCGCTCGCTCCACCTAGTGCTGAGCTTTAGGTACTTGAAGGGGTGGGAGCTGGGTCAGGGGGCCTGGGGTGCGCTTAGTCCGTCTCTAAGGAGGGAAGTTTTATAGTGTGTTTGTGCGGGGTGGGTGAGGGGAGGAGGTGTGTCGTTGCAGCCAGCATCGTCTGGTTGTTTGCCCCGCAGCAGCGTTTTTGGTGGAGGTAATTCTGCGGGGGAGGGTCGGTGTTACCAATGTTACAGCTGGCTCTTAGCTTCGAGACTCGATGGCAGACTTTGAGCCATCGGAAGAATTGCAGATCACTGTTTTTTGGGGGCCTGACCTGTGCTAACGAGCACCTATGTGATCTGACTGTGGAAACAGATTTTAGCTCAGGGCACAGCAGGGTGTCTTTAAACTCCGTGTGTGCGTGGGGGGTGCCTTCTTCAGCTCTGTGAAGGTTGGCTCCTGTGCTGGTGGCTAGCAAGTGAACTGCAGCTGTGACACAAGTTCCTTGTCTGCACAAACGTGTTTGCCTTAAATATTACTGTCCCCATCGCTAGTGTCAGACACAGTAAATGGTGCCCATGACCGAGATCTAGGGGGCAGAGGTTGAGATTTCCCCCGAAAGGATGCTGATTATGAAGGTTATGCTGCAGATCCGTAAATCTGTCATATGTTACTGGAAGTAATTTTCCTGATTTTTTTCCTTTTTAGGTAACCAGTCAATCAGTGCTTTATATAGTCTGGTGAAAGACTAACTGTATTCAAAACCAGTGGGTTTTGGTGAAGTTTTGTTTGTTTGTTTTAAAGACTTTCTTTCTCTCCCTTCCACTTCTATCTTACTTTTAAAAGAAACTATTTCTACCCAGTGTGGATATAGCTGAAAAATTTCACTGTTTTTAAAACACTGATTATCTTTTATTTCAGGGTTTTCGCCAGGTTTCCCAGAGGACCATAAGCACTGCTTCACGCAGGCAGTTTGAAAATAGAGTTGCTGAGAAGCAGAAGCTTTTTCAGGTATTGAGTGAGCACTGAATAATGTTAGTAGAATAACAAGGATTTAGTAGATCATAATTGCATATGCTTTGTTTCTGAAGGACTGGTGAAAATCCTCTTTACATCTGAGGTGAGCTGTTGAAATCAGTTTTATGACTACAGTGTTTGAAATCAGCAGTTATTTTCTACAGAGATTAAAAGTGTTTGTACATGCATACTTGACTAGCTGACTCTTTAGGGTTTTTTATTCCGGGAAATGATTTGTACCCAAGTTTCTTATGAGTAGTAGGTACAGTACAAAGATAAAGAACTTTGAAATGAGGTGAGATGGTGGAGTGTGTCCTAAGAACAAATAGAGAATACCAGCAAGTGAGAGGACAGAAGTACAGTGAAAAGTTAAACCTTACAGCCATAACCATAGCTCATAGATGAGCCCCATAATTCATAATGGGGATGTGATATTATTGTACTTCTCTGTTATGAAAACAGTAAAGGTCTTAAGGGACTGGATTCACTCCTAGAAAGTTACTGGATCTTCAGAATTTTTTTTTAAATTACTCTCTTCCTGATTGATAGGGAGAGCGTGGGAGCTAGTGGTTCTTCAAATTGTAAAGCAGTACAAGGGTACTCAGGAGCATACTCCCAACTGTGTGCCATAGTCTGTAGCAGTAGCTTTGTACTGAGGATAGATGAGTCTGGACTTCAGCGGTGTGAAAGGGAGAAAGTATGTTGGAAGCCCCAGTTTAATAGTTTTTGTGTCTTGTTGCTTTCCTTTCCCCTGAAAGAGAAAGCCAGTTTTGCTGGGGCACTGCCTCAGGAGCACAGCGTTCATTGCGAGCCATGGGGAAGTGAGATGTTGGTGAGGTCAGAGGTTCTGTTTCTGCTGGCGTCTCTCTTCCTCCTCCCATTCCTTTCTTGTGGGGCAGCAAGTTAAGCTGGGCTGGGTTGCAGGTCACCAGCACTGGAGGTTGGCTTAAATTCCAGAGCAGCGTGAACTTGCTGACAAGGGTAAAGATCATGTGGATCCAGTGTCTAGGGGTTCTACGTCAGGTGGAGCAGAACAATTTCCTGTATGATACCAGGTGAGAGTAGAGGCTCCTCCCCTTGTCACTCCCTGAAGCAGGGGTTGACTATGCTGGAGAGATGGATGGGAGGTTTCTAGGGATGGTATTCATATCCTGTGCACCCGAGGGGGTTGGCAGCTGGTGTCGGAAGTGTTTACGCACCTGCCAGTCGCTGCTTTAGAAATGACTGTGCACACCATTTACTGTGCTTCAGTGGTGAGTGATCTCCTGAGACCAGAGTGAAAGCTTGGAAGACAAAGTGGAATCTAAAGTTTGATGTCTTTTGGGAGTTGGGAAGATAATTTGGGAAAGTAATTCTTGTTCTGGGCAATTCTAGTTATATTGCAATGTGTTGCAATTACGATATTGCAAGAACTGTATTTAAATAGTTATTTTTTCTCCCTTGTTTCCATTAGGAGGATAATGGCATCCCAGTGCATCTTAAAGGTGGTATAATGGATGCTCTATTGTATAGAGTCACCATGGGTCTTACGGTTTTTGGTAAGCCTAATACTAAAATATTTATGCCTTGGTACAATTTCCAATGTGCTAATATTAAAATACTTTTTCTTTGGTACAATCTCCGACATGACTGGTGAATGAGTTTCACAATTCCTTCAGTCTCTTCTTTAGAACATGCAAAATGCATGTAGAGAGGGGGGGGGGGAACATTTGGAGGTACTATATATTTATTTGTGCTTTCTCAAGTTTAGCTTTTCAGATGGCTTTTTCACCCCTGACTAACAGTACTATGGGCTAAAATACCCCTTCAGAATTAATGTGTGATGTTAGAGAAAACCAGCCCTACTTGGAAAGCTTATTCTGAAAAGGAGTAAAATGTATTTATAGCACATAGATATACCAGTTTTCTCACTAGCCTGGCTGCTTTTAGTGCAAAGTGATATTTCACGTGCTAAATTTTCACATGTTTTGAAAACTAGCAGAATGTAGGCAAGCTTTGTGACACTGTATATATTTAACTCTTGTGTTGCTTGCTATGTAGTTTTGTAATAGCCTCTAACCGTAATGGATTTTCAGTTCAGTTACTTTAAGAATGATTAACCATTCCTTCATCATCCTCGGTAGCTGCCACAGACATGCCTCTCCCTCCTTCCCCGCCCTCACTTCCTGTTTCTTTATTTTTATTTAGTCTATGGAGAGGTATTTAAGGATTTTTTTTGTTTTCTTTAAAAGATGAATTGCAAAAAAAAAAAAATCATTGAGATGTGGCTATGGAAATGTGTTGTGTCTGCATTGCAGGTGCTTATTGTCAGTATTTATTTTGGAAGAAACTGGGGAGGGAAAGCTGACTTGAAAGGAATTCCGTTTACCGTTCTGAAAATAACTTTTCTGTCTCTTAATTCAGGAACAGCCTATGTTGTTTACGAGCTGTTTGTTGCTTCAATGCCCAAGAAGCAGAAATGATTCCAGTTCAGGATGCCTCAGTGACTAGCATCTCTTCGTCCAATTCCATGTGACCATGATGGCAGCTTATACTTATTGTAAGCAGCTGGCTTAATGCTTGGAATCATAATTTAGTTGTAACATGTTAACTGCACCTAATAAAGCAGTTTTTACGTTGTGTTGCGGTGGTCTGGGGTGTATCACGTGGTCTACATTAGAGTGCTTTTTGCTTCCAGTCAATGTCCATGGAGTTGATCAATATGCAGATCTTTGAATTGTGAGCTTCTTTCCTTTGTATGTGGTTTATGTTAGTACTTCAGAGGCAAGTTGAATGTCCTGAATCCCTATGAGAAAGTGATATCTTGTCTTTATTATAGGAATTTCCTCTTGCTTTAGTGAAGCAAATTAATCTTAGAATAAATTATTTGGATTAAACCTGTGCGGAACTGAACGTTGAGGACTTGATGATTATTTTGTATCAGCTGCTGGAAGTTGACTGTAATACATCTAGAAATAGAGGAATCTGATTCCTGATCACCATCCAGAGGTGACAGTTTTTACTATGTAGAGGTGATAACACTGTTCTCTGCAGCTTCAGGAGTGTAGGAGTAGTCTCAGTTGAACTCGGCACCTTCATCTAATAGATTTTTTTTTTTCCCAGTGGCTTTTCTGTGCTACAGCCTAATGGAATACCATATTTCCTGAAAAGAATGAAGATTTCAAAGCATGCAAATATGAATAGCAAGTGAATATGTATTTATCTTGCTGCCCACGAAATCAACATGGCCATGTTAATCATGATTAAGACTTGGTAATCTTCCAGCATTCCCTCATGTTTCAGGTGGCTAAAGCCAGCTTGTTCTTAGTCATTAGGGTAAATAAAGCAATCAGTTCTTAAGGATAAAATAAGAAAAAAAAGTTTATTAGAGAATACAACAAATAGTAAAGTGGAGGAGGGGCACAATAAGCGTTAGTACTAACTGTACTAGACTAACTGTACAGTGCTAGCATTTCTCGAGTGATCGAAAAGGTTTACAGTGACTGTTAATTAAACAGGTACTCTGGCAGTTGACTGCTAACTTGATCTAGGCTGAACTGAACCCTGTTAAGCCAGAAATACTGAAGATACTGAAGGCAATACTTATAACAGCTTCAAATTCTTATTGATAGTTTTTGTCAGTTTTGAATGCTCTTTTGGAAGAATTTCTGTAGTGCTCTCTGTGACTTCGAGGGTAGGCCGAATGCTCAGAGAGGCTGCCTTCTGTCTACGAATTGTACTCTTCTCTAGTTTGAGGATAGGACTGCCCCATGTCTGCAGGGTAGCAGCAGATCTAGTTCGTAAGTACCCACCAAGTTAAGTGGATTAGGTTTGAAACTGTCACATAATTTGGATTGGGAGGGACCTCTAAAGGTCAATTGATCCAATCTTCTGCTTAGAGCGGTGCTTCTTCAGAGCCGAGTTGGGTTACCCAGGGCCTTGAACAGTCACATGGGGAGTATCTCCAAGGACGGAGATTCTACATCCTCTGTGCAACCTGCTCCAGGGTTTCACTGCCTTTTCTCCAAGGAGTGTCTTTCCTTTTCTGGGACACAGGAATACACGTGTTCAAAGAGTGGTTGTTAGCATTCCTGGAACACGGCTCTAAAGGAAGGCACAATTGCACTTGACTGGTTCCACCTAGACGACCGTGGATTTTACAGACTTGAAGGGGAAAGCAGGTAACTTCCAATGCCTTATGTTAAGACCTCTCACAGAAAATGAGGCAAAAGCTGTAGGTATGGCTGCATTTTAGGTTGCTGCCTCTCCTTTGTGTCAGGTTGTTGGTAGCTGCTGGTTCTAAAGCTCAGTCAACACTGGTTTCTGGGGAACTGTCAGCTCTTCTCCAGTGTCATTTCTACTGGGTCACTCCAAACTTTCTGGCAGCAATTTGAACTATGTGCCTTAAGCTAGGTTATGTGCCTTAGCAATAGCGTGGTTGAGGACTGCTCACCTCTGTTTCACCAGCAGAGCTGTCTGACAGCTCTCTGCGTGTGTAGAGGTGCAACAAATGGCTGATGATCCTTTCTGAAGTGCTCCTCTTTCGGTGGTGTTTATCAGCCTGCTATGACACTGACAACCATGAATGTAACTGGAGATCCATCATTGTCTGGGGAGTAGAAGAATTTGATTGTGGTTTAGAATTGGGCAGGGATACTCAGTAATAACTGTTAGCTTCTATCATGTACTTGGTAACAAGCCTTATATCTGAAGTAGCCAGTGCTTTCAGTGAAAATGCCTGCTCCATGAAAACTGCTTCTAGAAAGCATCTTTTAAATTGGTGAGTATGAGAATCACTTGTAAGCTACCCTGATGCCTCATACCAGCTTGGCTATTGCAGTTACTGGGGAAGAACATCTCTGGGAACCCGTGGTAGGTGTGCATCCCTAGTTAGGTTTTATGTTCCTGATAGAATTTGTGCCTTTGTAGCCTTCCTGTCAAGTTGCTGCTTGTGGGTTACGATGCTGAAAGTCTGGTGTTGACTCTAACAAACAGATTCTAAAAAAGAAAAAAAAAAAAAATCCATCAAAATAATCCTTTTGTTTCTCTTCTCAAGGACACAGTGGGTTTTCCGGAATGTGAAAATGAGCACAAAAATCTAGCTTCCCACTACAGTACTATTTTAAGCCTCTTGTGGATTAAGTTTGTTTAGAATTTTTCATTGCTGTACTGGAGAACCAGAGTATGCTTGTTAAACTTGAGACAAACTGGAAGAGAAGGGCCAGTGTACCCAGAGCTCTCTAGCAGAACCAAAAATCTTAAAAAAAGGAGAGTGGGGGAATACCCCTCCATGGTAGTCTCTTTGCATGGGTGGGTTTTGCCAACTGCATGACTGAAAAAGTAAGAAGTGCCTGGATGGATGTCTCAGAACAAAGTTTGGGAAATGGGGTGCAGCTTATTTTGTGATGAACATTGATGCCTACAAGGAAGAGAAACCTCACAGCACAGTGAAGGAATTGGTCTGCCCTCTGAGACACTGGTAAGACTTCTGCTGCTACCATGTGCCTAGGGTTACTACCAAGATGTGGACCAAGTGGTGGGCATCTGGAAGGCAGCATAGGAGAGATCAAAATCTTTAAAAAGCCCACATCCTTTCCCACCCACAGGAATTATGAAGAATATTGAAAGAGGGACAATTGTTTAAATAGTCTAAATTACAAAAAGTAGTCTAAATGACAAAAATCCTGTGATGGGCTAGGCAGTAAACGTGCGTTTCTTCTTGCAATCAACCGCATCTTGGAGTCTGCTGTGTCAGGAATGGCGGCAGCTTGTGAGCTGTGCTGCAGGCAGCAGCCCTGCTGGGTGGGCACGTGGGGTATGGGCAAGCTAGGAGAAGGATGCTACAAAGAGATGCATATTTATAGACTGAGCCTTGAAATTTTGTTTAGATGCATAACATGACAAAAAAACCCCGTTCTGGTAGAGGTGGCTCTGGGAACCCCTAAACGTGCCCCTGGAGTCTGCAGTTGGAGGCAGGCGGGGGGGATGGTTGGCATTGCCAAGGCCGTGCAGTGCTGCCGCCCGGCGTGCGCAAGCCGTGGGACTGCCAGCACCTCTGGGGTTTGTCTGGTGCTGCGGCAGTGGCAGGAGGGTGAACCCGGACAAGGCTTGTGGTCAGCTGCTCAGCACCATTTTCTGGCACCGCACTACAAAGCTAACAGGGAAATTCCCCATCTAATGTTCGGTCCGTAGGTGTCATTTGTTGCAGGCATGTCCACGTCACAAGCTGCCAGAAGGTGTAAGCGAGGTGCCAATATTGCCTCGACTGTCTTTCTCTAGGAAAATGCAAAAAGAGAGCTATGCGTCTTCTCTAGGGCTAAAATTAACAGAAAGTGTTTGGAAGTATCTGAAGATCTTACTCTCAATCTCCCTATGGGTATATTATGAGTAGAAGAAAACAAAACAAGCAACATCTATTACTTCTTGCTAATGTGAAAAAAATGATACATTTTTAAAAATAAAATGGTCAGTAATATGAATTCATGGACTGTTAGCAGTTAGCACGCTCCAATTGTGTGCTTTTCTTCTCTGATTCTATTACCTTGATGCTTAATTACCATCCTTAACACTATTTTCTGGAGTTAGGTATTATACTGACATACAGTATTGCTACCTTAATGCAGTCCTAATTTTGATTTGTGTTTAGGCAATACACATGCTATCTTTTCCCCAAAAGAGATTTCATTTAAACTTTATTTTTTCTATTTCAGGTTCATGAAAAATTTATTTTTCAGTTACTGTTATTAGAAATGGTAGCTATAATTTTTTCATGTTTTGCTTTAAAGGCTGAGAAGGCCTCCTGGCACTGAGGACATGGGAAGTCAGCTGTCCTGACTTCCACTGAGCCGGATTGTTCTAAATGCCACCCCAAAAATACGGGGGACATTTTCTGATAGACAGGCAATGAATACTCCATCTCTTCCACTTCCCTTGACATCCTATTTTTCATTATTTAAGCTTTTAAACTTTCATGGTTTTAAGTTAACAAAGAAAGCTTAGCTGTGTGCCAGCTTTGGCAGAATGAAAAAAATTTGTCCATGCTACTGTAAGAGAAACGACTATTCAAACAATAATCAGACAGATGAATCAGACAAAAATTAAATCCTCAGTACTGCTATTCTAAGTTACACAATCCTTTCTGAGACTCCAGATGTACAGACCACATTTTACTTTCTCCATTGGGAAGGTAGCTCAGAACCATCTACTCTTAGAACTGTGCCCTGGGCTACATTTTCTTGGCTGCTGAATATATGTGTAGATCCAATTAGCCTGTCACACACAAAAAAATCCGCAGTAAATGTCTGAGGACTAATAGTACATCATATCCAGCATTTGCTTCCTAAAAGACACAGTGAGAAGAGTTCAGAAACTCTTAGCAGTAACAAGAAAACACCAGAGAGATGTCTAAGAGTATGATCTTACCCGTACTTTTTTCTTTTTCCAGATCCCAGAGTAAAAATACCCCTTTTCTAATGTTGCTCACTTTGGCTATCACTGCTGTGAACTATGATGACTTTTTTTGGGCATCTTTTGTATTAAGCTGTCCTTTCTTACTCTCCCATTCTTTCCCAATTCTGTTACATATCAAAGAGCTGGAGGTTGATCTTCGTAGTTGCTAGAATGAATCAGACTTTCAAAGACAGA